ATTTATTATATAATTATTTATTTGAGAAAAAACCTGAAAATAATTATATTATGTAAAACATTTAATAATATATTTCAACTATTCATATGTCATTTAAGACTTTAGAATATGTCAACAGAGTAGAATATTTGTTGTTAATGTTATTCAGTATCATTTTTTTTTTATTGTTTCTAAGGAATAACCGAAAAGAAGTTTGATGTTAGTTGTCTTTGGCAACTAAAGAAAGTTTCGTATTCAATAATCTTTACTCTCAGTTCTATTGAAAAAATAAGAGAATGAATTAAATAGTTAGATTCAACAGATTATGATTGAAATATTATTTGAAATCTATGACCAATCTCTAGAAATAAAACCAATATTTTTCTCTTTTTTTGATTTAATATTTATGTACGTTGCAGTAATCTTAATTCAATATTAATGAACATTTTCAATTATCTTCCTTCATATATTCATCAAAGAGAATATAAAATTAAATTAAAAAAAAAATTCAATGAATTTATATCAATAATAACATAAGTGAAAAGAAAAATTTTTCCAAAAGCTTTGTTCTGTCTTTGTGAAAGATACTTATCAATTAATATATCATTCAAAAAGATGAAAGAGGATTATCCATATTTAATTATATTATATTACAATGTGTGTATCTAATGAGATAAGAACAAGAAGAAATTTATATATATGTAAAGGACAATACTATCTTATATTTAATATATCTTCATTTTTACATCAGTCGACACAATATTAACATTATAAATATGTCAAAAAACATTCGACGAGTAAGTCTAACATCTCTATATAGTTACATATCTTTATAATTTTTCCTTGCAGAAAATTATCCGTGCTATTCAAAGAACATTTCGATTATCATCTAGTAAATCAAGTGAGTACTTTATAATTATATTTCATATTAATAATTTCATTGCAGAAATAATATGTTGTGATGCTATAAAGAAACCTAATGATTATGCAGATATATCGTATCCATCACAACAAAAATCAACAAAAAATGATTATGTAAGTTTCTTCATTTATATATTTCTATTAGTAAAATATCTACTAAATCATTTAGATTGATCTAAGTGAATGTTATTCATGGCCTTTATTTTATTCAAAAGATTCTGGTATATCATCAACTACTTCAGTAAATAAAAACTGTTATGAACTTGAATCGACACGAATATTTTCTAATGATTCTTCTTCATTTTCAATTTCTTCTAATTTAAGTTCTATTTCACATTTTGATATAAATATTGCAAGGAATATAATTCCAACATCATTTCAATGTTGTTATTGTCATTGTCATTGTCATCAATATGTCAATAGTGATATCTTGTTCAATCAAATAGACAATTATTTATATGCACAAAAACAAGATCAACAAAGATTAATTAAAAATAAAATTTATCCTTTTATCTTTTGATTTCAAATAAAATTTATTTAATTTCTAATAAATGTTCGATGATCACCAAAAAAAGAATATATAATGATAAATCTATGCGTAGAATACAAAATGATGACACTTGAGAATATTGGGCATCTAGCGAATATGAATAAAAGAATGTCTGACGATTTCTTCAAAAATCGGTCCAATTAAATCTTATTCATTTCTTCGTATAGAACTAACGACGATGATGATAGAAACTGTACTGTGTGGATACATTCATGGAATGTCACTAGGTCGATACGACGATCACGTCCGAATACCATCGGAATTTTCAGAGTTAATAGAACCTTTTGTACTTTTTGCAGGAAATGAATATCGCATTTGTATTAAAACATCGATGATCGTTCCTCATTATCCGCTCGAATCACAGAACTTATAACAGATTCAGATTTCTTGTGAAAAACTGCATTAAACTACTTAGAAATTTCGAAAATTGTTTGTAACATCCACTGGTTCAGTATGTTATTTGTCAGAGACGAAAAATATAGAAAAAAGAGTCAATCAGAAAGTTGAAGTTAACCAGATTGGTGGTATTACTAGTTCGATAGAGTGAAACTTACTCTACAAGATGCACTTATTACTTCTTATCCCACTTTTGATTTTAAAAAGAACTAATGTCAAAATGTATATTTTCTGAAACTTTTAGAACTTGTAGATTTTATTGTGCTCACTATTCTGGAATTAAATTATTCACTATATGACTCTATTTCCAGGAAAATATAAATGCAATAAACTCCATGCATGTTTTCTCCTATTGCTGATTATACATAAAAAAATAATGCATTTTTCTCGAAATGAAAGTGATAGTAGTATAGTATTTACTAATATTTAAAAATTTAGTGATGTATTTGGATTAAGTATGAAAAATAACACCAGCATCTATGCGAGATTTACGATATCTCAAATATCCTTATGTTGATTATCTGATCGCATCTAATACATAATGAAAAAAAGTTGGATGAAAAATAATCATCCAGTACCAATTAATAAACAGAATGATCTAAAATCAGCACTTAATCAAATCAATAAAGTAGAATTTACTGTACACAAATTAGTTCTTCTTGCACATTTGATTTCGGAGGGGACAACGGTTGAAAAAAAGATGATAAAAGAATATTGTTCTTTCTAAATTTCATTCTATCAGTATATCTTTTGTATAAGTATGCTTCAAAGAAATTTACTCAATTTCGTTTTTGACTATAAATATTTGTTATTTATTTTATCTGTGTTTACATATTCTCATCAAAGAAAAATCCTCTACTGTTTCGCTTTCAGGATGTTTTCTTTTCATTTTGCTTTGATGATTAGATAGATACATATTTTATTCTTTTACTTCCTTAGTTTTTCAGTCTAATCTCTCGATTTTCTCGAAAATTTGGAACTATCTATAATTTCTCATTGTCAATCATGACTCTTAATATTAATTTGTTCACTGTCATAGTCTTCATCAATAAAACAAAGTGATGTGAAATATGATTTTATGTGATCAAAACTAGTAATAGAATTCTGTTTGAATTCTGCTAGTTTCTTAAATTATTCAATAGAGTTTTCTGCTGTTAGGAGAATACAATACTTGTATCACAATGCATAGTTTGTTTTCTGTTATTCACAATAAAATTATGTTTAAACTCTGTTGATTGTTTCAATTTTTTATTACAATTTCTAGCATGTTAAAGTTATGAAATTTTAGTATGCCTATGCGGAGTTTGACTTCCGCTAGTAGTAGTAGAATTCTACCATCAGGTCTACAACTGTTTCTAAGTTTATATACGACTATTTTATACTGTGAAAAAGTCTACAAAATTCTGATTTCTGTTTGATACGTAAGCTGCAGGTCTTCACATCTGCACTCCATACCCAGCCCAAAAAAATATCCATCAACGCAGAGTTATAAAGAAGAGCTATAATCCATAGTATATTTCTTCACCTAAGTCACATGATTAACTCTGATAAAAGATCACATATCATTCTTTCAACATTTCGAAAATAACTCAAATCTCCGCTACCATTGTTCGTCTAAAGCCTCAAAGTTGACATGAGAAATTTTTATTTTTGTTTTCTAACAAAAACATAACAAAACGCCAGTCACACGCTCATCAGGTCTTTTCAATTTTCAATCGCATTATCTCTATTAGCTATGTTCATGATTTGGCCCATCCTTTATTTCATTCAATCAGTTTTTGCACACGACGTTGAACTTTTGTATCCGATTCGATTGTGTTTAAAATCTAGGATGGCGCATGTTAATGTGAAAAGGTACAGATAAGGATATGAAACAGATGAAGAGAGAATGAAGGTCAATGATCTCCTCCAAAAATACTAGCCATGTATCGTGCCGGGACAGCTGCGGGTGTATTGTTGTAGAAATATATCCGGAAGAGTGTCTGTGTGAAAAAGAGCAAATGCAGATATGAGAGAACTAAAAAGAGAATGAAGGTCACTATGTTATTTCTTAATGCTTTTCCCAGGTATTGAGCTCCGAGATTGTTGATTTGGTTCCATCGGATATCTAATGTGGTAAGTGTCTGTGTGAAAAATGAGAGATGGGAATATGAAAGATATGAAGAAGGAATGATTCTCACCGTATTATTTTTTAATGCATCACCCAGATGTTGTGCTCCAAGATCTCCGATTTGGTTTGTGTGGAGATCGAGTATAGTGAGTGCCTGCATAAAAAAGTGCAGACGCAGATATAAGGAAAATGTAGAGAGAGTGAGACTCACTGTGTTACTTCGTAAAGCATCAGCCAAATGCTGTGCTCCGACAGCTCCAATTTGGTTCGCGTGGAGATTGAGCGTGGTAAGTGTCTGTGTGAAAAAGTGCAGATGCGGATATGAGAGAATGAGACTCACTGTGTTACTTCGTAAAGCATCAGCCAAATACTGTGCTCCGAGAGCTCCAATTTTGTTCGTGTGAAGACTTAGTGTGGTGAGTGTCTGTGTAAAAGAGTGCAGATTGGAATGTGAGAAAAATGAAGATAGAATTAGAGTTACTGTGTTGTCTCGTAAAGCATTAGCCAAATGTTGTGCACCGAGAGCTGTGATTTGGTTCGTGTGAAGACTTAGTGTGGTGAGTGTCTGTGTGAAAAAGTGCAAATGCAGGTATGAGAGAAATGAAGAAGGAATACATCTCACTGTAGTTCTTCGTAATGCATCACTCAGATGCTGTGCTCCAAGATCTCCGATTTTGTTCGTGTCGAGATTGAGTGTGGTGAGTGTCTGTATGAAAAAACGCAGATGGAAATATGAAAGACACGAAGAAGGAATAAATCTCACCGTATTATGTCGTAATGCATCACCCAGATGTTGTGCTCCAAGATCTCCGATTTGGTTTGTGTGGAGATCGAGTGTAGTGAGTGTCTGTGTGAAAAAGTGCAAATGCGGATATGACAGAAATGAAGAGGAAATAGAGCTCACCGTAGTTTCTCGTAATGCATCACTCAGATATTGTGCTCCAAGATCTCCGATGTGGTTCGTGTGGAGACTGAGTGTGGTGAGTGTCTGTATGAGAAAGTCCAGATGGGAATATGAAAGATGTGAAGAAGGAATGAATCTCACCGTATTATTTCTTAATGCATCACCCAGATGTTGTGCTCCAAGATCTCCAATTTGGTTTGTGTGAAGATCGAGTGTCGTGAGTGTCTGCATAAAAAAGTGCAGATGCGAATATATGAGGTGTGAAAGGAGAAAGTGACTCACTGTGTTACTTCGTAATGCATCAGTCAAATGTTTTGTTCCGAGAGACCCGATTTGGTTCGTGTGGAGATTGAGCGTGACGAGTGTCTGTGTGAAAAAGTGCAGAAGCGGATATGAGAGAAGTGAAGAGAAAATGAGACTCACTGTGTTGTCTCGTAATGCATCAGCCAAATACTGTGCTCCAATATCTTCGATTTGATTACGTTGTAGATCTAGTTTGGTGAGTGTCTGTGTGAAAAACCATAGCTGATGCTGCCGTGCGACGAATAATACACGAAGGGAGGGAAAAACTTTGATTTACTATTTTGTTTGAACGGTGAACCAACGGCTAATTATGAAGAAAATAGAGGGTAGATATCGAAATGCAATGGGTGATGGGTTACAAGAGAGTAGAGCTAAGAATGTAGATCGTGAGGTGCACCATAAATGTGGGGGAAAATTTTTCGATTTTACATAAGTGGAATCGACATTGGAACGTTGTTTATCAGTATTTTGAAATGATAGGTTTGAAATTTTTGTTTATTTGTTTACTAATGATGGGTTCAAACTGCGTATTAATTTTAGTGTTCTTTGTGATAATTTTGAATACACGTTCAATAAGTTGTGTATGTGATAGATATGTATGAGATAATTGTTTGATTGTTTTTTTTCGCATGCTGGTTTTGAAATGAATAGATGTGTCACATCGGATGATGCTGATGTGGAGAAAGACTGGTGAAAAACCTTTTCCATGAAAAAACGAGATTTTTTTTCATTAGAAATCGATTTCTTTGTTGTTTTGACGAAACAAGTTTTCTTGTCGAGAATAATTTGATTAGATTAGCTGTGACCCATATAGTATTCGAAAAACTATCTACTTTTTGCAGGTTTACAAACAACTATTTGGATTTCATCATGTTTTAGGAAAGTGCACCCTAGACTTCACAGAATGCCTTGTAATGACGACTGAGAAAACTACAATTGAACTACTTTCAATATAATACTAACAATGATGAGCTGTACATAAAGCGACATAAGAGTGGATTTCATTCCCTCGACTGTAGGGAGGGTCATATGAAAAAAAATAGTTTGTGTGTGTGTGGCTTTGTGTCAAGGTCAAAGAAACATCAAAGATGAATTTTTTTTATAAAGTTTGATGAAAGTAAATCGAGATCGGAGAATCCGAATCTGAAGTCAGTTTCGCGAAATTTTCAATTTTTTTAGGTTGAGGAAAGGATTTTTTTGCGAAAATAACGATACTTTATAAAAGTTGACGAAAGTAAATCGGGGCCGGAGAATCGG